ATTAGCATTTCAACTCTTGTAACTTTCGACTCACTAGGTTTCTTGTTTAACTGTTCGACTAACTTCGGAGATGCGTATGAGCTTCCGGAACCGGTGTCAAGCAGTGCCCTACACTTGGTACCGTCGACTTCGACAAGAACTACTGGGTAAATTACTTTGTGATCGCTGGGGTGGTATGCTGCGGTCAAAATGGTTTTGGCTAGTTCACATATTGAGGTGTGGTGACGTCGGTTACAGTTCTGGCAGGTTTGCTTACTCCTACACTCAGATGCCCTATGACTACCACCCGTGCAGTTAAAACACAGTTTCTTGTCCGATAAAATCTTTCGTCGAGCTTCACAGGTGGTCACCGAGTCACAAGCAATGGACTTGTGATTTTTAGAGTCGCAATATACACACGCTCGAGATTTCTGATCTACTTGACGGGTCTGATAAGCCCTTGATGCATCTTTCCTTTCGTTGCTTGTCTTTGCTTCAATAGGGTTTCTTTCAGTCCAAGCGAACAGTGCTTTGACTAAATCTGTGAATGTCCAGTCTTTCCATTTGGGCTCAGTTCTGACTAAGTCCCCACGTATTCCAGGTACTTTGTTCAAGGTAAGTCGTACATATCCATTTACTTCTTGAAGTTTTCCCAAAGTTTCTAGTGACTGAACACAATAAACCAATTTCTCGTAGAAGGGGTGTATTTTTTCCGGTCGGGTACTTGTTATCGTTGGCAAATTCACGATTTCTTCCACATAGGAATTCACAATTTCACTGGTGTTTCCATATTTTCTTCAAGGATTTTCTTCGCACTTTTGTATCCTTCGGTCGTGAAGGGCAGTCCATCTATACATGTCCGTATCTTGGGTTCTACTAACTCTTTCAGGTAAGAGAATTTCATCACATCAGGAATATCGGCCAACTCAATACCCGCAGAAAATTGGCCCCAGAATCGCAACCAGTCGTGATATGAGCCATTCAAAGGTTTAATTACAAGCTTTGGTAGCTTTGTAGATGAGTTTTCCCTGCTTGAACTTCTTTAATTTCCTTTTGATACTGTAATTTTTGATTGAAAAGTTCCTGTTCGAAGGCAAGTTGTTTATCTCTTTCGTGTTTCTCGAAGGCTTGTTGTCTCGTATAATTTTCTTCGTCTAATAGTCGTTTATTTTCGTTTTCCAGGGCGCTTTCTTTCTGGCGTTCGTCTGCTTTAAGGCGCTGAATATACTCGTTTAACTGCTTCACTTTCTCGTCGGCCAAAGCTATATTTTCCTCGATTGATTCCCCCCATGCTGCGACATTCTCTTCGGAGTCGCCTTCGATAAATTTCTTTTCTTCGATTAGTTGTTTCAGGTCACTTATAGCCAAAATAAGCTTTGTTATTTGACCCTTTTGTCGAATAGCGACTTCTTCATCGTTTGTTTTAAGTATATCATCGGTTTTCTTGGTCGTAAAATTGAGTAAACGTAACTTGCCATCAATTTCGTCGAATTGTTGTTTTAATGCCATTATATTCGGAATTCCCTTGCTCTTGCTCGAGCTAAATCTCTAGTTACAATCCCGTCGGAGGTGCCAGGTGTCGTAAATTGCCGCCTGTTGTGTTTACGACAATTCACAGTTTTATAAACACAGGTTTAGTTAACAATCTCTTTCCTTTTTTACTAATTTAATATCTCGCCCTATATAACAATCTCCATTCGCACGCTCGCTCTCATCACTAATGTTTTTACAACATGTGTTCGTTTCACCGGAAGTGTTGGCGCATGCCGCATTTCCGGCTTCTAAACTGTTAATACTGTCTATATATTTATATATTGTTAATCTCCAACAATAATTCTGAATGTCACAAATGAATATCAGCACATTGTATTATTTCTGAACGGTAAATGTTGTAAAGATATTAAATGATTTGTTTCTTTCATACTCATTTCCAAGCCAAAATTAACTTACTTGCCAGAACAGCAGTATTAAAAAAGACTTAATTCGACAACTTAAGCCCGTTTTCCACTTCACTATTTTGCTTGCCGCCCCGCCCTCGACTACGTTAAAACATTTCTAGTTCACTTTTTATACAATATCTGATTTTCCATTTAACATGCAAGCCTCTAGTCCTGGGCTAGGGTACAATTTGATTTACGATGGACAAAGCTACAGTTCGGTCGGACCCAAATACACTCGGGTCGGACAAACAATAAACTTCAGTTTCACTTAGGTTGGACAGAATGTCCAGTGGTTTCCTCAGTACGTCGGACAATTTCACGAATGGGACGGACAATGTCTGTGACCGACCGATATTTTAAGGCCTATTCGCAGCTATTTTGCATTAATTATAAAATTTACAGCATTGCCACAGGGTTGACCAGACTATAATTGCTCATCTGTCCTGTTAAGCAGTAACATATTAGTTTCTCTTTGTACAAGCTTTTGTTGATAGGGATGCAACGTACTTCCGGAAAATATATAAGGTAATAAGGAGAATTTGGAGGAAAAGCCCTTTGTCTGAAGTTACTGGAAACTCAGTAAATCCAGACGAAGGGCCTTCATCGAAACATCGAAATTCTCCTTTATATATATTTTCAGGTATAGTTGCATACAGTTCCCACCAACGAAAGCTTGTTAATTTTATTGGCACTACCAACAGTACACTCGCAAAGACGGTCAATAATCTCTCTTTGTCATAGCACAAATGGAACATTTGTTAATGGAAGAAAATTGAAGAAGAACAAAGTGAGTGTGCTATTTTCAGACTTAATTTTATCTGCCATGACTGTTCGTCCAAGTAGTAAAGTGTATCATGTGTTGTAGAAATTGGAACTCCATCACGCAGAACAAATACAACTTGTGAAAAGACAAAATCAGCCAAATGAAGGTATCATATACAGTATACTGTAAAAACTCGTATAAAACGTCATTTCCAGGTCCATGAGTGGAGAAAGCATTTTACTTTCTTGTGTATTTCTTTGAAAAAACTTTTGTGAATAATCAAGTATAATGCTTGTGATGCCTCTCTGAGTATGTATCCATACCGGGCAAGCTTGAAAAATATGCCTGGCCACGGAACCCAACAATCATGATTTTTCTGTATTGGTATACTGTAGTGTACTCAGGTGAATATGATGCTTGTGATGCCACTCTGAGTGTGTATCCACACCGGGCAAGCTTGAAAAATATGCTTGGCCAACGGTGGAAATCGAACCTACAACCTTTGGAATACCAGCCCAATGCTCTGCCAACTGAGCTACGCGGTCAGGTCGGTTCGAGTAAGCTTGCCCGGTGTGGATATGCACTCAGACTTGCCCGGTGCGATACACTTTCAAGCTTGCCCGGTGTGGATACACATTCAGTGTGGCATCACAAGCATCATATTCACCTGAGTACACTATACCAATACAGAAAAATAATCAAGTATAACTCAACACTTAGACACTGCAACTGTGTATAACACTATAACAAGTTGTCAAACTGAACGTCATGCTATATTCTAATTGATTTCAGTGCACTGAGAATCTTGGTAATAGTTTTAGGAATATAACATGAAACTAATTTAGATAACATGCATCAGGAGCTCTCCTCCGAAGAGGGGGTTTTGAAAAGTTAATGTAAAGAAAAACGCCGCGGACCCGTTGAGAGAGGAACGCTGGAGCGAAACAAAGACGTTCCCCACTCTTTCTTTGGAATTTCGTGTTAGGAACACATAATAGTATGATAGTTAATGTCGGAAACCTCTGCGGAGGAGAGAGCATCAGAAGTCAGATTCCAAGGTAGATTTACAGATGTCAAAAAAGGGTACTATACTGCGGGTGGGGCAATGCTCTTTTTCTTCGGGAAATATTTTCTGGGAACTCAAAACATTTTCTACGATCAATGGTCCTGTGGTCCAATATTTTTTCCACTCCTGGCCAGGTCAGTCATTCAGGTCAGCAAAAATTTAAAATATAACCATGCTACTCTATTCTTTTCTAAGATATTGTGTTCACATATCAAGATCTAAGACAACTCCAGGAAGAGGAGTATAATTTGCTGGAAAGTACAGAGGAATACAGTGGAACAGGTATATGATTTGAGACCTCTTCAAGGAAGTTATGTTTCTACCACGGATATAACTGAAAATTGCATGTTTTCAGAACCATTTACAGTACATGCTCGAAAAAGGAAGTAGTTACCGATAAAAATTGCACATAAAAATTGTTACAGTTGTAAAATTACTTCACGATTTTTGTAACTACTGTAGTTAGTTAAAACGTTACGTATTTACATCTGCAAGTTTTAATAATTAAATTACTGTAAAGAATGCGGTGATAACTCAGCCTCAAGACGGCAAATAGGCAGATGAGTTATTGTTTAACGACCACATCAACATAATAAAAGTTGATAGAAACAAGCTTTCGTTGGTAGGGATGCAAGTACCTGAAAATAATCAAAATATACAAGGAGAATTTCGACGTTTCGAGCGAAGGCCCTCCGTCTGGAGTTACTGGCCTTCGAATATCCTTCGTCTAGAGTTACTAGCCTTCGAATGTCCTTCGTCTGGAGTTACTAGCCTTCGAATGTCCTTCGTCTGGAGTTACTAGCCTTCGAATGTCCTTCGTCTGGAGTTACTAGCCTTCGAATGTCCTTCGTCTGGAGTTACTAGCCTTCGAATGTCCTTCGTCTGGAGTTACTAGCCTTCGAATGTCTTTCGTCTGGAGTTACTAGCCTTCGAATGTCTTTCGTCTGGAGTTACTAGCCTTCGAATGTCTTTCGTCTGGAGTTACTAGCCTTCGAATGTCTTTCGTCTGGAGTTACTAGCCTTCGAATGTCTTTCGTCTGGAGTTACTGGCCTTCGAAGACACAAGCTTTCGTTGGTAGGGATGCAACTACCTGAAAATATATAAGGAGAATTTCGACTTTTTGAGTGAAGGCCCTCCGTCTGGAGTTACTGGCCTTCGAATGTCCTTCGTCTGGAGTTACTAACCTTCGAATGCCCTTCGTCTGGAGTTACTGGCCTTCGAATGTCCTTCGTCTGGAGTTACTGGCCTTCGAATGTCCTCGTTCCGGAGTTACTGGCCTTCGAAGGTCCTTCGTCTGGAGTTATATACGAAGGACCTTCGCTCCTTGCATCCCTGCCAACGAAAGTGTGTTCATTTGATTGGCACTACCTACACAGGCACATGTAGACAGTTCAAGTTGATAGCAGAAACAATTTTGAAAATAGCAAACACTTTATTTTAACCTGAAAATGTAATAAACGACAAAAATAACGTAAACGTTGATCTGGAAATTGAAGCAAATTACAGGAATTGAACTCAAGTTGCAGAGCTGGTTGTCGCATGCACTAGCCGTGGTATCGCTGACACACCTATACTTACCTCCATAGACGGATTTTCTGGGGGGGGGTGCAGGGGGGTGCTACCCCCCAATATTAGCTATAACCCCCCTAAACAAAATGTCCACCCCTCCAAAAAAAAATTCAACTCCCCCCCCAATATATAATAAATAAATACTTAAATATTCCACTCCAACGTGCAGAGTGTTGATGATACAAAATAAACGTAGGAGTACACTCGAACAGAAAAAGACAGTGCAACAGTAATTGCTCGTCACTTGCATTCACTGGTTTATTGGAGTAATTGTAAAGTTTTGAAACTCTATTATCTGCCCTGAATAGAGTTTGCAGTGCCTTGTCATGCGAATAGCTTGCACGCAAGAAACGTTTGGAATTTTTACGAACATTTTTTTTAGGTTTTAATTCTTTTAGGAAATAGACTTGCCTAGATTTAATCTTTACGCCCTAAATATTATTTACATCGAAGTCAGGAGACTGTTTAATGCGAATAATTATCACGTTCATTGCATTGGTTGCGTGATGACGTTTCTACTTTCTAGGCAGGTTGTTGACGTTGCTACACTGTTGTTTGTACAATAGCAACCTAATTATCATCATATAAAGTGTATTGCACTAGTGCCACCTGCGCAAGCTGATAACGCGCAAATATGAATATTTAAGAAAGAATTCGATACTGTAGATCATAAAATACTACTACATAAATTACATCTTTATGGGATAAAAGGAATTGCTCTGCATTGGTTCAGATCTTACTTATCAAACAGAAAGCAATATTGTCGGGTAAACGATCACCTTTCCCACCCACTGGAAATGGTCTGCGGTATATCTCAAGGGTCCATACTTGGACCACTATTGTTTCTTATATACGTTAACGACCTTCGAAATTGCTTAAAACATACAAGATGCAATATGTTCGCTGATGATACACAAATTGATACATCTAGCAATAATATTGATTCGATTGCTAACATTTTGAATGAAGATTTGATAAACGTTTCTGATTGGATGAAGGCAAACAAATTAAGCCTAAATGCTAGCACAACAGAATACATGGTTATCGGTTCTCATAAAAGGCTTCACCAAACTCAAAGTGATCCACCAATCACTTTGGGCAACAATCAAATAAAAAGAGTCAAAGTTACAAAATCACTTGGATTAATGATCGATGAGACATTAACTTGGGATGAACAGGTTACACTAATTACGAAAAAAGTAAACAAGGGCTTTAATGTCATGCGGAGATTAAGGGATTTCTTTGACATAAAAATATTAACTACCGTTTATCAAACTTTAGTACAACCTTATTTCGATTATTGTTCCCAAGTTTGGGGATGCCTTGGTACCACACTTTGTAATAAACTTCAGCGATTACAAAATAGAGCTGTCCGTATCATTACAAAGAGTGGGTACGAAGTTCGATCTGTAAATTTACCACACCAACTTGGTCTGCCCAACCTTGAGGAAAGAAGAAATCAACAACTAAATACATTTTTAAAATGTACAAAGTTAGACACGAAATGGTCCCTTCTTCGTTAAGTAATATGTTTCAAAAAACACACGAGGTCCATGAACACCAAACGAGACAAGCCAAACATGATTTCCTACCAGGCATTTAGTTATAGAGGTGCAGTGGCCTGGAATAATCTACCAAGTGAAATTGAAAATTCTTAAACTGTTAATATTTTTAAAGCAAAACTCAAGATTATCAATTGAGAGTACATTTTAATATTGTTAGTATTTGTTACATTAGTAAGTAATATGTATGTTGAATAGTCTATATGTATATTGTAGATAGTGTTATAAGATAGTTAAACACACGGCCTATTGGAAGATCACATTTTTCTTTTCCTTCTCTTTTATACATAATTAAATTAAATATAAGTAGTTTGTGAAATAGTACCGTGTTTAAATAAAGTTTAATAATAAATAATTATAATACTGTATGCTGTATATCAATTATGTACAGTACAGTATGGTAGCTCATAGTAGTTCAAGTTGCATCATAAATTGTACTCGGATTCAAACAACACAATGTCAACGACTTTCTAACGACTTTATAAAAGTAAAAGCATATTGTGTATTGGGTTTACAATTTTACAGGTTCATTTAACTTTAAGCTTTAACTCTCTCAAGTCTCAACAGACAATCGGACATGCCAAATCCATTGATATATGACAACTTCAAAAAGCTTTTTTTCGAAGCTAGAAATCATCATTTTTTTCAAATTTTTCCTGGGATACTTTGTTTTCTGCTCTCTAGACCCCCCCTCGCGGCTCAGTGCTCCACCCCTAGGATATAGACCTTTCTGGGGTTTGATGACACTTTGTGTTGCTTCAGTCACCTGCTCACGGCTCACCCCCCTAAAATTTCTGGCACCACCCCAGTTAAAAATATGAAAATCCGTCTATGCTTACCTCTTAACCCATGAAATGTTATTTTGTCTTTACAGATATTACCAACACTCCAGAACTGAAAGATGAGGTACATGCATGTATACTGACTACTCTACATTCATTCTGACCGTTTTTTCCTCAAATTTTAATGCAGCATCCCAAAGCGGGAAGAACCCAAACCAAAAATTAAAATTGATTTTGGTCGCTATTCATCATGGCTTAAAATACCTGCCGGCGATGGACGTTGTCCAAACCATTCGTGAAATTGTCCGATGTGGAGAGTAAACCACCGGACATTCTGTTCGACCTAAGTGAAACTGAGGTTTATTGTTTGTGTGAACCGAGTGAATACTGGATGGATGATTCCAGCTATATAGACTAAATTTTGATCTAGGCAAGAAGAACAAAATCCATGACCGCAGCTAGAACGAGCATGTTAAAATTGGTAAAATTGCAGAGGTTGACCGCGAAATGTTGTAAAATGAGGAAAATATAGCTGTACGAAATTTGCAAATTTTGTATTAATTTGTATTACTCGCGGGAAAATGTACCACATTTGGGCCGAAAGATCAAAATTTAGATCCAAATTTACAGGGTGTATAAAAAAAAACTGAACAGATTTGAAATTGCTCTCAATTTCGCAAAACACCTATTTGTATCCGGTTTTTAGTGTGAAGTTTCACTTCACACTGTTGTGATGGCTGGCGAATTCACACGAATCAGTCAGTCAGGCAATCAGTCAGTCAGGCAATCAGTCAGTCAGGCAATCAGTCACTCAGTCAGTCATAGAGTAAACTTTCCGGGGGGTGTATACGATTTATGTTCGCAGTGATTTATTGTACTTAGATCAGCAGTGCTTTGAAGATTATTTGAGCAATTTTATTTATTTTCTTTAAATATTCTTTTGTCCTTTTGCCAAGTTCACAAAAATTTCGAGGAATCGTTGTCGTTATTGTAAATTTTTGTAATTTCAGAACATTCGCTTCTCATGTTGTGTAAAGGAACTTTTCCCCCGGAACACCCGGTTTTTTCTATAGCAGGGCAAATGCGCATGCGCTATGAAGCCGTAGATCACGATGCTAGGAAGGAAAGGAGCGACAGTGTCGTTTTCAAATGTATAAATTTAAACATTTCAGACGTGAATATTGAGTAAATCTTTGAGAATCTACGCAATATATAAATTTATGTTATGCATGACGGTCTTTCAATCAAGTACTGATATATGTGGACGGTATATTCATTAATATACAGAGCTAGGAAGGAGCGACAGTGTTGTTTTAAAATGTATAAACATTTCAGACGTAAATATTGAGAAAATCTTTGAGATTCTAGGCATTCAATTGAGTGCCGATATTATTTTCACGGCATACTCGTTATACAGAGGTATAGTATACGTAGGCACAAGCGAGACAGTGTTGTTTTCAAGTATATGAACATTTCAGACATGAATATTGAGAAAATCTTTGTCCTTTGAGATTCTACGCAATAATACTATTATGTTGTGCATTACCGGTATTCAATTAAGTGCCCATCGATATTATTTAGAAGGTGTATTCATTATACATTGTCATTGACTGTGTAAGGTGCTACATCACAGAATAGATGGCTACGCTCAGTACAAAAAGCGAAACAACTATTAAACAGAGCGGGTAAACGTTTGTACGGCGTTTACGAAGAAAATAACTTGCGAGACTAAAGAAATCAGTTGAGTCAGAGCTCCTTATTTAAATAAGAAAGACGAGGAGATAGCCAATGCGTTATCGCCAACGTGTTATCGCCAATCGCTTGGCTCGCCAACAAGCTTTATGCAATAGAAAAAAAAGCAAGGAGGTACATGTAGCCAACGTGTACCGTCACGGGCCTTGTCTTTGTTTACTGTCTAGCACAACGCCGTTGTCAACGGTGTAAACTCTTGTTCAGTGCAACGATAACTCTACCAGATCTTACGAGAATCAATCTGTAGTATTCTGTACACAGAACTGTTCAAAGCTTGTCAAAACTGCTTTAATTACTGTCGTTCCAATTGAAGTGTTCCTCAAATATTGATTCAATACATTACCTCAGGCTGACCAATTCTTTTCATCAAGTTCCTCAAAATATTCATACACTTCCTAGTATAATTGTAAACTTCCTGTTGAATAGTTTGAATGCGCCAATCACCTTTGTTGTTTGTGCAACTAACCAATCATAAATAGAAAGGAAGTGACCAGAAATGATCAAATACTTGGAATTGGCTCTTTCACAGGAAGTGTATGAATATTTCGAGGAACTTGATCAAATGAATTGGTCAGCTTGAGGTAATGTATTGAATCAATATTTGAGGAACACTTCAATTGGAACGACAGTAAACACTGCTTAATTGTAAAACTATTGAAATCTAAAGTGACATTATTCAACACATGCGAAAAGCTGAAAATAGACGTGACACTGGGAAAAGTCAAAGGTCAATGAAACTTGTTATTGTGAAGCATGTCACAATTAGGTTAAAATGCGGAAGCGGATGGAGCGGATCCACGGAACGGATATGCGGATAGAATACAGAACGATGAGGATAAAATGCGTCCTTTTAATGATGTAACGACGTAGTGCTCATTATTCATAACCTATCTTACACAGCTATCTCAATTATAGTTTTAGATAAATTTAGCATAGCAGTAGCCTCGTGGGGATGCTTTTAGCGACAGCTGCAAATGCAAATGAAAATTTAGAATATGCAAAATTTGGTTGTTGGTGAAACCATTTAAATTTTGAATTGTCTCGTGTAGCATCACAATAAATAGATGAATTGCATCAGTTTCACAAGTCACGTTTCTGGTGTGTTAGGCTTTAGTTATTTCAAACGTCACGCCACTCGTGTGCCGAGCGTATTAAAAGCAATAAATAATGAGATGAAATGCCTTTGGTAACTGTTTATTTCGTAGTGTAAGCCATCAGCTTTTCTAGGTTGTCGGCGACCATATATAGTTCTTTTTCAATTCGAAACTTCACACTATCCTTGGATCCCTAGTTTATATATATATATATATATATATATATATATATATATATATATATATATATATATATATATATATATATATATATATATATATATATATATATATATAGCTTCTTTGGGTACTTATAATGCAGAATAATGAAAAAAATTTCTTGAACTCAAATTTTGTGAACCAGGGGGGTGCGTCTTTTCCAACAATCTAAAATGGCTCGTGCACAAAATTTAAAAGTTGTAATCATATTTTGAGTTAATAGATGGAAAATTTGTCGGGTTTTTAATTACTGTACAAAATGTCAGAAAATTTGGTTTAGTTTAAGCCCTTTAACTATTCACGCAAAGTTACATTTTTCCTAAAAATCAGCTTTTCGCATGCTTAATTAATGCATTTGCCTAATTTGCATATGTCAGCAACATGCAAATTAGGTAAAGGCATTTAATTAAGCATGCGAAAAGCTGATTTTTTAGAATAAAACAAATAGTTAAAGGGCTTAAACTAAACCAAATTGTCTGAAATTTTTGTACAGTAATTAAAAACCCGACAAAGTTTCCATCTATAAACTCAAAATATGATTACATCTTTTAAATTTTGTGCGCGAGCCATTTTTAGTTTGTTGGAAAAGACACCCCCCCCCCTGGTCCACAAAATTTGAGTTTGAGAATTTTTTTTCATGGCGTCGGCATCCAGCCGCTTTTTGCCTTATCGGTAGACAATCGGAATCGGTAGAATTATCTATATATATTTTCGATTGTCCAGGGTTTTTTTCAGGGATTTTTTAGGGCCGTTAAACTTCTTCTTGTTGTATAAACAAAGCACTAGCTTCAATAGCATCATTTGCATTTGATAATTTGGATAGTCTTGTTTACTTTTATTTTTAATTTCTTTATTTTTTGAAGTAGCCGTTAAACGGCCCCAAAAACTCCATCTTGAATTGAGTTTTGAAACTCAATCTTCTCACCAAAGTTTCAGTGCAGTAAAAATGAAGTTGTTTGAGTTAAATTCGTGACGTGTGGAAATTAGTTTTCAGTTGGAATCCCGACAATTAAAAAAAAATGGCTGGAATTAATCTTACAACACAAGAAAAACTATGCATTCGCCATCTTTAACCAGTTTATAG